CATCAAGCAAAAAGTGGGTGCTAGAAACAATATCATACAAAAGCTGACTGGCACAACCTGGGGATCACAACCAGACACAGTGAAGACATCTGCCCTTGCGCTATGCTACTCTGCTGCTGAGTATGCATGCCCAGTGTGGAACACATCTCACCACACTAAAACAGTAGATGTGGCTCTTAATGAAACATGCCGCATTATCACGGGGTGTCTGCGCCCTACACCACTGGAGAAATTACACTGTTTAGCCGGTATTGCACCACCTGACATCCGCCGGGAAGTAGCAGCCAATAGTGAAAGGACCAAGGCAGAGACATCTCCGGCCTGGGTATCAATGTTGGCGTGTAGCAGAGTATCGCAGAAGCTCAGAATAATGGACTCTGGAGTCTCCCGGTAAAAGCAGGTTTCAGCTTTACTTAAGCAGCTCAAAATAGACAACATACACCAGTGGTTCTCAACCTGTGGGTCCCCAGGTGTTGTCGCCTACAACTCCCAGCCAGTTTAGCAGCTGTTAGGATTTCTGGGAATTGTAGGCCAAAACACCTGGGGACCCACAGGTTGAGAACCACTGACATACACCATCAGCGGACAGACGTGAAGAACACAAAACGAAAGAGATAGGCACTTAAAACAAACTGCAGCTGGAAGGGAGTTTATCTCAGGCACTCCCTAATCTTTCACACAGCAAGAACTCAGGGTCACATTCTCACAGCTGGTTACTTTGCTGTTTTTTTAAAAATAATTATTTTTATTTTATTTAAGTAAACATACATTTGCAAGTGTTTGTTGCATACAGTGCAATACTTTCTATCTATTAATGTTCTATAATCATTTATCTGATAATATATTTCTATTAAGGGGTCACAGTCTACTATCTAAATAATACATAAAAAGATATCATAGATTCTTACTTTACATCCACTTCTTCCTTGTCTACAGTCTTAGAGGATCCTCTATATACGTTTTTAATTTAACTTTACATTTGCTGTTTTTAACCCTTCTGTGTCAAACTACATCCTGGCAACACAATTCTATTACAATCACAATCCTATCACATAAAATTACATTTAAATATACATCATACATAAATCATACACTGACAGTTCGGATATCAGCCAGCACACCAACAACTTAAATCCAGAAATAGTTTTCTAAGATTACAGAGACACTCGCTGGAACTCCTCAGCAAGAGAGAGTCCAAAAGTGGCAGACTCAAACCCAGCACCTCAATCCATGGCTGATACCAAATGAGGGACTCCCCCTTGGACACACAGAAGAGTGGGCGACTTGGAAAGCGCTGAACAGACTATGCTTTGGCACCATGAGATGCAGAGCCAACCTTCAGAAATGGGGCCACCACTTAAATCAAGACATAGTTTTTTAAGATCAACAGAGACACTCGCTGGAACTCCTCAGCAAGCGAGAGTCCAAAAGAGGCAGGCTCAAACCCAGCACCTCAATCCATGGCTGATACCAAATGAGGGACTCCCCCCTGGGCACACAGAAGAGTGGGCGACTTGGAAAGCGCTGAACAGACTATGCTTTGGCACCATGAGATGCAGAGCCAACCTTCGGAAATGGGGCCACCACTTAAATCAAGACATAGTTTTTTAAGATCTACAGAGACACTCGCTGGAACACCTCAGCAAGCGAGAGTCCAAAAGTGGCAGGCTCAAGCCCAAAACCTCAATCAATGGCTGATACCAAATGAGAGACTCCCCCTGGGCACACAGAGGACTGGGTGACTTGGAAGGCGCTGAACAGACTGCGCTCTGGCACCATGAGATGCAGAGCCAACCTTCAGAAAATCAAGAAACTTAAATCAAGAAATAGTTTTCTAAGATCTACAGAGACACTCGCTGGAACACCTCAGCAAGCGAGAGTCCAAAAGTGGCAGGCTCAAACCCAGAACCTCAATCCATGGCTGATACCAAATGAGAGGCTCCCCCCTGGGCACACAGAAGACTGGGCGACTTGGAAGGCGCTGAACAGACTGCGCTCTGGCACCACGAGATGCAGAGCCAACCTTAAGAAATGGGGCCACAAAGTGGAATCCACGACATGCGAGTGTGGAGAAGAGCAAACCACTGACCACCTGCTGCAATGCATCCTGAGCCCTGCCACATGCACAAGGGAGGACCTTCTTGCGGCAACACCAGAAGCACTCCAAGGGGCCAGATAGTGTTCAAAGGACATTTAATAAAACACCAAGTTTTAAAACTTAATCTTAAAAATACAATAAAACTCTTTTGTTTGCTCCTGATATGATAAATAAATAGAATAGCCAAGAAGCGACTGGAAAAGCTGACACGATATGAGGATTTAAAGATCAAACTGCCAAGAGTCTGATATAAGCCAGTCAACGTCGTCCCAGTGGTGATCGGCACACTGGGCGCAGTGCCTAAAGTCCTTGGCCTGCACTTAAAAACAATCAGTGCTGACAAAATTACTATCTGCCAACTGCAAAAGGCCACCCTGCTTGGATCTGCATGCATTATTCGCCAATACATCACACAGACCTGGGCACTTGGGAAGTATCCGACGTGTTTATTATTTATCGTGTCATCCGCAACCAGAACATTGTATTACATTTCTAACAGAACAAAACAAACAAACAGATAAAAGAAACACAAATTTAGCAAACTTGGTAGTTGATTAGATGCCCTTTGACCAGTATCTGGCCACTTGGAGTGCCTCTGGTGTTGCCGCAAGAAGGTCCTCCATTGTGCATGTGGCAGGGCTCAGGTTGCATTGCAGCAGGTGGTCAGTGGTTTGCTCTTCTCCACACTCGCATGTCGAGGATTCCACTTTGTAGCCCCATTTCTGAAGGTTGGCTCTGCATCTCATGGTGCCAGAGCGCAGTCTGTTCAGCACCTTCCAAGTCACCCAGTCCTCTGTGTGCCCAGGGGGGAGTCTCTCATTTGTATCATCCATGGATTGAGGTTCTGGGTTTTAGCCTGCCACTTTTGGACTCTCGCTTGCTGAGGTGTTCCAGCAAGTGTCTCTGTAGATCTAAGAAAACTATTTCTTGATTTAAGTCTGACGTGCTGGCTGATACCCAAACAGGGGATGAGCTGGAGATGTCTCTGCCTTGGTCCTTTCACTATTGGCTGCTACTTCCCGGCGGATGTCAGGTGGTGCAATACCGGCTAAGCAGTGTAATTTCTCCAGTGGTGTATGGCGCAGACACCCCGTGATAATGCGGCATGTCTCATTAAGAGCCACATCCACTGTTTTAGCGTGTGAGATGTGTTCCACACTGGCATGCATACTCAGCAGCAGAGTAGCATAGCGCAAGGGCAGATGTCTTCACTGTGTCTGGTTGTGATCCCCAGGTTGTGCCAGTCAGCTTTCGTATGATATTGTTTCTAGCACCCATTTTTTGCTTGATATTCAGGCAGTGCTTCTTGTAGGTCAGAGCACGGTCCAGAGTGACTCCCAGGTATTTGGGTGCGCTGCAATGCTCCAGTGGGATTCCTTCCCAGGTAATCCTCAGAGCTCGGGATGCTTGTCTGTTCTTAAGGTGAAAAGCACATGTCTGTGTTTTAGATGGGTTAGGGATCAGCTGGTTTTCCCTGTAATAGGCAGTAAGAGCACCTAGAGCTTTGGAGAGCTTCTGTTCAACCATCTCAAAGCTCCCTGCTTGAGCAGTGATGGCACGATCATCAGCATAGATGAAACTCTCTGTCCCTTCTGGCAGTGGCTGGTCATTTGTGTACATGTTGAACATGGATGGAGCAAGCACGCTCCATGTGTGATCCAATACAAAAGCCAGTAGAGTGACCTTTTTTTGCTGTGGACTCATCTTGTTGTGTATCAAATAATAATAATAATAATAATAATAATAATAATAATAATAATAATAATAATAATAATAATAATGGTAATAATATCAAACAGCAAAGGCTCTGGCATAAACCAGTCAAGGTGGTCCCAGTGGTAATCGGCACACTGGGTGCAGTGCCTCAAGACATTGGCCTGCACTTAAACACAATCAATGCTGACAAAATCACCACCTGTCAATTGCAAAAGGCCACCTTACTGGGATCTGCACGCATTATTCGCCGATACATCACATAGTCCTAGACGCTTGGGAAGTGTCCGACATGGGATCCAATACAACTGTGGTTCTCAACCTTCTTAATGCTGTGACCCCTTAATGCAGTTCCTCATGTTGTGGTGACCCCCAACCACAACATTATTTTTGTTGTGACTTCATAACTGTAATTTAGCTAATGGTATGAATCGTCATGTAAATATCTGATATGTAGGATGTATTTTCATTCACTGGACCAAATTTGGCACAAATACCCAATATGCCCAAATTTGAATACTGGTGGGGTTGTGGGGGGGATTGATTTTGTCATTTGGGAGTTGTAGTTGCTGGGATTTATGGTTCATTTAAATTCAAAGAGCATTCTGAACTCCAACAATGCAATTGAACCAGACTTGGCACATAGAACTCTCATGACCAACAGAAAATACTGGAAGGGTTTGGTGGGCATTGACCTTGAGTTTGGGATCTGTAGTTCACCTACATCCAGAGAGTACCGTTAACCCAAACAATGTTGTATCTGGACCAAACTTGGCACAAATACTCCATATGCCCAGATGTGAACACTGGTGGAGTTTGGGTAAAACAGACCTTGACATTTGGGAGTTGTAGTTGCTGGGATTTATAGTTCACCTACAATCAAAGAGCATTCTGAAGCTCACCAATGATACAATTCTGCCAAACTTCCCTCACAGAACCCCCATGAAGCTCACCAATGAGCAACAGAATATACTGTGTTTTCTGATGGTCTTTGGTGACCCCTCTGACACCCCCTCACGACCCCCCCCCCAGGGGTCCCGACCCCCAGGTTGAGAAACACTGGAATACAACAGCCAGCAGAGTGATCTTGTTTGCTGTGTACTAATCTTGTTGTGTTTCTAATAATAATAATAATAATAATAATAATAATAATAATAATAATAATAGTTCTTCGACTTGCTTGGCCCAGACCAGGTGGTGGCCTTGGATGCCTCGGTGGCCATTTCCCAATTCCGCACCGCGATACCACCGATAATCAACCGCCACGGACAAAATATCAGGTGAGCAATGACTAGAATCAAGGAAGTTACTTTTTCTGTTTTTCTGTGTGCTTCTGGGGTAACTTGCATCACACAGAGTGGGTTACCTTATTCTGAATTGGGCCCGTAATCCAGCTAGCTGAAGGAGCCATCTACACTATGGAATTAATGCAGTTCAATCTGGCTACTAGTATTAAAAAACTCTAAAATTAGAACAGCACAACAACAGAGAGGAAACAAACAAGGACATCTAATCACCTCTCAACAAAAGATTGCTCCAGGCACTGCCAGGCAATCAAATGCTAATCAAGGTGGTCAGTTGAAACATTCACACTTAGCTCCAGCAGACATGATCATTGAATCCTAGAATCAAAGAGTTGGAAGAGACCTCCTGGGCCATCCAGTCCAACCCCATTCTGCCAAGAAGCAGGAATATTGCATTCAAATCACCCCTGACAGATGGCCATCCAGCCTCTGTTTAAAAGCTTCCAAAGAAGGAGCCTCCACCACACTCCGGGGCAGAGAGTTCCACTGCTGAACGGCTCTCACAGTCGGGAAGTTCTTCCTCATGTTCAGATGGAATCTCCTCTCTTGTAGTTTGAAGCCATTGTTCCGCGTCCTAGTCTCCAGGGAAGCAGAAAACAAGCTTGCTCCCTCCTCCCTGTGGCTTCCTCTCACATATTTATACATGGCTATCATATCTCCTCTCAGCCTTCTCTTCTTCAGGCTAAACATGCCCAGCTCCTTAGCCGCTTCTCATAGGGCTTGTTCTCCAGACCCTTGATCATTTTAGTCGCCCTCCTCTGGACACATTCCAGCTTGTCAATATCTCTCTTGAATTGTGGTGCCCAGAATTGGACACAATATTCCAGATGTGGTCTAACCAAAGCAGAATAGAGCATGGGGAGCATGACTTCCTTAGATCTAGACACTATGCTCCTATTGATGCAGGCCAAAATCCCATTGGCTTTTTTTGCTGCCACATCACATTGTTGGCTCATGTTTAACTTGTTGTCCACGAGGACTCCAAGATCTTTTTCACACGTACTGCTCTCGAGCCAGGCATTGTCCCCCATTCTGTGTCTTTGCATTTCGTTTTTCCTGCCAAAGTGGAGTATCTTGCATTTGTCACTGTTGAACTTCATTTTGTTAATTTTGGCCCATCTCTCTAATCTGTCAAGATCGTTTTGAATCCTGCTCCTGTCCTCTGGAGTATTGGCTATCCCTCCCAATTTGGTGTCGTCTGCAAACTTGATGATCATGCCTTCTAGCCCTTCATCTAAGTCATTAATAAAGATGTTGAACAGGACCGGGCCCAGGACGGAACCCTGCGGCACTCCACTTGTCACTTCTTTCCAAGATGAAGAGGAAGCATTGGTGAGCACTCTCTGTGTTCGTCCACTTAACCAATTACAGATCCACCTCACCGTAGTTTTGCCTAGCCCACATTGGACTAGTTTCCTTGCCAGAAGGTCATGGGGGACCTTGTCAAAGAAGGCCTTCCTGAAATCCAGGTACGCTACATCCACGGCATTCCCCGCATCTACCCAGCTTGTAGCTCTATCGAAGAAAGAGATCAGATTAGTCTGGCATGACTTGTTTTTGATAAATCCATGTTGACTATTAGCAATGACCGCATTTGTTTCTAAGTGTTTGCAGACCGCTTCCTTAACAATCTTTTCCAGAATCTTGCCCGGTATCGACGTGAGGCTGACCGGACGGTAGTTGTTTGGGACATCCTTTTTTCCCTTCTTGAAGATTGGGACCACATTGGCCCTCCTCCAATCTGCTGGAACTTCTCCCGTTCTCCAAGAACTCTCAAAGATGGTTGCCAATGGTTCCGAAATGACTTCCGCTAGTTCCTTCAATACTCTGGGGTGTAGTTGATCTGGCCCTGGGGACTTGAACTCATTAAGAGCGGCCAGGTATTCCTGGACGACTTCTTTCCCAATTTGGGGTTGGATGTCCTCCAATCCCTCATCCACTCCATCTTGCTGAGGTTGAAGACATGGCCGGAACCCAGTGATTCCGGCCATGACAGCCTTCGACAATACATTAATGCAGTTCAGCACTGCTTTAATTGTCATGACTCAAAGCTGTGGCAACCTGGGAGTTGTAGCGTGCCTTCTCCGCCAAAGAGCGCCTGTGCTGTGCCAGACTACAACTCCCAGGATTCCATAGCATCGATCCAAAGCAGTTAAAGTGGTGTCAACAGTTTAAACAACAACAACAAGTTTTATTTTTTACACGTGGTATTATAGCATTGGGCCATCACAGTTAATGCAGTGTCAAACTCAGTTAATTCTACAGTGTAAACAATAACAACAACACTGTGTAACACAGTTTTGTTCCTGGGTTATAAATATCATTTCCTAAAACATGGAAAAAGTTCATTAAACAGAAAAAACTTTTTTTTCCGCGGGAAGGACATCCTGCAGCACAAGGCTAAAGACCTTGGAAAACTACAACTCCCAGGTTCACATAGCATCGAACTATGTTAAAGTACTGTAGTATAAAACTGCATTAATTCTACAGTGTAGATGCACCAGAAATCATGGAGGAATTTAAAAGGGTCTGGCCCTGAAGAAGAGACCCTGTGGCCCCACCAAAGAGGGATTGCTACAATGGTGAGCAAAGAGAAGCCCAATTTGAAAGGTTTTTCTTAAGTTCCCAAAAGAAATCTCACCAAAGTTGAAGGAAGCGCCACCGAGATGGTTTTATTGTGATTCAGCTGAAAAGGATGCAAAGCAGCAATATTTCGCCAAGCTAAGCATACAGTGTACAAAAATAAAGGCTTTTTAATACACAAAACAGAGCTGCCAGGTTTGAATCTCCCATTCCCCTCCCCTCTGCCGGCTCGACGATGATTGGCTGGCGCTCTTCAGCTGGGAGGAGGCTTTGCCTCCTCCTGAGCGCCTGGGCCAATTGCTGGGCTTCTGCCACCTCGGCGTCCTGATGAATCAGGGGAGGCGGGACGAGAGAGGAAGAGTGGGAGGCGGGAAGAGAGGGGAAAGGCGGGACGAGAGGGGAAACAATGGATTCTTGAGAGGATTATGGAGGTAGGAAATGTCTAAGCGGCCAGCGAGAACCTGGGGCCTGCGAGCCAGCCATTCCTATTGTCATTGAGTGGCTGCAATAAACGTAATCCGGATTTTCCCAGTGCTGGGAGACAGGTACAATAAGGGAATCTTGGCTGTGGTTTGAATCAGTAACAGATTAGGACAAGGTGTGGCTTTCCGAAGGCTTCCTTTGTCCTATTGAGATATGATCATAAATGCCAAGTGGCCGCTTCCTCTGGGGGGCCAACTCTGAGGCCAGAGGTCACGGTCCTTTGTTATTGTCCATGCAAAAAGTGTCTTTTGATAAGAGTCTTTTTCAGTTGGAGATTTCCTTCTTTCCAGGGTCACGCAGGGGTGGCTGCCTTGTATTTTTATACATTTTTCAATAAAGGGGAATTGGGCAAAAGGATCAGGAAAAGGTCAGATACACAGGGAGAAATATAGAAATATAGAAATCATGTTATAGAAAACATACCCACTTATCCCTCCCACCAGAGTCCCATAGAAGTTCAAGAGAGCACATAAGTGTAAAGCAGTGGTTCTCAACCATCCTAATGCCGCAACCCCTTAGCACAGGTCCTCATGTTGTGGTGACCCCCAACCATAATATTATTTTCGTTGCTACTTCACAACTGTAATTTTGCTACTGTTATGAATGGTAATCTAAATATCTGATGTGCAGGATGTATTTTCAGTCACTGGACCAAATTTGGCACAAATACCCAATACTCCCAAATTTGAATACTGGTGAGGTTGGGGGTGATTGATTTGGTCATTTGGTAATGCTGGAGTTGCTGGGATTTATAGTTCACCTAAAATCAAAGAGCCTTCTGAACTCCACCAATGATGGAACTGAATCATACTGGGCACACAGAATTCCCATGACCAAGAGAAAATACTGGGAAGGTCTGGTGGACATTGACCTTGAGTTTTTTGGAGTTGTAGTTCACCTACATCCAGAGAACACTGTGGACTCAAGCAATGATGGATCTGGATCAAATTTGGCACAAATACTCAATATGCCCAAATGTGAACACTGGTAGAGTTTGGAGAAAATAGACCTTGCCATTTGGGAGTTGTAGTTGTTGGGATTTATAGTTCACCCACAATGAAATAGCATTCTGAACCCCACCAATGATAGAATTGGACCAAACTTCCCACACAGAACCCCCATGACCAACAGAAAATACTATGTTTTCTGATGGTCTTTGGCGACCCCTCTGACACCCCCTCGCGACACCCATGGGGGTCCCGACCCCCAGGTTGAGAAACACTGGTGTAAAGGGAGGTGGTTTCTCAGTAATAAATGTGCTACCTTCTGCTGTATATGAAACGTAGGACATAAAACCTTGATTGAATGAACACACTATCTAACATGGGAAGGGTCCTTGTTGTTGTTAGTGTCTTGGCAAATTGACCAAGGCTTAACCCTTATTATCCAGTCTGGTGTCCTTGTCCTTAGCAAAACTTAGCAAAACTTTTGGGGGGGAGGTCATGTTTGACTTCACACCCTTGGGTTGTGTGGCTTTGCTGCAAATATGGAGGGCCTGCTGCAAATCGGTTCCTTGTCTGACTTTTCCCCTTCCCAGTCTCTTGCAAGGGCTCTTCTACCGGACGCTGCATCTCCTGAAAAAGGGCATCAAGCCGGTCTTTGTGTTTGATGGGAAACCTCCAGATTTGAAACAGCCCGTGGTGAGTAAGTGAGGGATTCCCACTTTGTTTGCCCCCCAAAAATGGGAGGAGAATGAACCCTCATTTGGAGAGCTGTTATTGCAATGGAGGAGGACGATCAACATGAAGACGAGGATATTGTATTGTCGAAGGCTTTCATGGCTGGAATCACTGGGTTGTTGTAGGTTTTTTCAGGCTATATAGCCATGTTCTAGAAGCATTCTCTCCTGACGTTTTGCCTGCATCTATGGCAAGCATCCTCAGAGGGGAATTTGGGAGATGGAGTTTCCTAAACTTTTCATTTTCCTCCCGCAGTTGGCCAAGAGAGCTGCGATTACTGGAGCCTCAAAGGACGCCAAAGGTAAGAAGGGGCCAAACACTATTTTGTCCAGAGTCACAGAGTCATTGACCTTGAGTTTGGGAGTTGTAGTTCATCTGCATCCAGATAGGACTGCAAACTCAAACAATGATGGACCTGGACCAAACTTGGCACAAATATTCCATATGCCCAAATGTGAACAGTGGTGGAGTTTGGGGAAAATAGACCTTGACATTTGGGAGTTGTGGTTGCTGAGATTTATAGTTCACTTACAATCAAAGAGCATTCTGAATTCCACCAATGATGGAATTGAACCAAACCTGGCACTCAGAAATCCCATGATCAACAGAAAATACTGGAAGGGTTTGGTGGGCATTGACCTAGAGCAGGGGTAGGGAACCTTTGGCCCTCCAGCTGTGGTGGACTTCAACTCCCACAATTCCTTGAGGCTCGGCATTGGGCCAAGGTAAGCCTTTGGGGCGAATGCCGAGCCTCAAGGAATTGTGGGAGTTGAAGTCCACCACAGCTGGAGGGCCAAAGGTTCCCTACCCCTGACCTAGAGTTTGGGAGTTGTAGTTCACCTACATCCAGAGAGCACGGTGGACTCATATAATGATGGATCTGGACCAAACTTAGCACGGATACTCAATATGCCCACATGTGAACACTGGTGGAGTTTGGGGGAATAGACCTTGACATTTGGGAGTTGTAGTTGCTGGGATTTATAGTTCACCTACAAGCAAAGAGCATTCTGAACCCAACCAACGAGAGAATTGGGCCAAGCTTCCCACACAGAACCCCATACCTTGAAGGGACTTGCTGGTGTGAGCCTCCCTCCAGCATTGCACACTCTCCCTCATCTTCATATGCGTACCATGCTGTCATGCGCCGAGCCAAGCATGCGTACTCTCCCCTCCTTTGATTGGAGTCTCAGAAACAGCACTCCCCATGGCTGAGAGGTCAGTTGAGAGTCCTGCCAATCACAGCAGAGGAGGGCTTTTGGTGGGAGGATTTGCCGTCTATTTCCAAAAAGGAAGAGAAGGTCAGGCAGAGAGATCTTCAGCCTTCTCTGCCAAAGGGGTTCCTAAGAACATCAGAAATACGGTCTTTGGTGACCCCTCTGAAACCCCCTTGTGACCCCCCCCCCCACCAGGGATCCTGACCCCCAGGTTGAGAAATGCTGGGCTAGATGGTCTTTGGGGGTCCTTTAAACTGTTGTGATTCCTTGAGTTGGAAGGCCTTGGAGAAACCATCTGGTTCGGTGGTTCTCAACCTGGGGTCCCCAGATGTTTTTGGCCTTCAATTCCCAGAAATCCTAACAGCTGATAAACTGACTGGGATTTCTGGGAGTTGTAGGCCAAAAACATCTGGGGACCCCAGGTTGAGAACCACTGATCTGGTTATGGAAGACCATCAAACCCTAGGCAGAACTGAAATCTGTAACTACAATATTCCTGAAAGGAATCATCATCATCATCATCATCAAACTGTTGGCTCATGTTCAGCTTATGGTCTATTAAGACTTCTGGATCCCTTTTCCATGGGCTGTTGTCAATCTACTATACTTGTGACATTCCTTTCTTTATATTCTATGTATTCCCCTTGAGACAATAGTAAATTTGTATGATATTCCAGATCCTCTCGCAAGTGGCCTTCTGCAACAGCTTCCAAAACAAGACTATGAGACCCTGTTGAGCTGCTTAGGCGTTCCTTATGTGCAGGTAACATCTTTGTCCTATATGTCTTTTCTCTGCCAAAGAAAACATGAGCGAAAGGATGCATTTACACTGATGTAGTTTGACACTACTTTGAGTGCCATACCTTCATGCTTTGGAATGGAAACACTAGTTTTACGAAGTCCCTAGCCTCCTCTGGGTCCATCTACACTGTAGAATGGATACAATTTGACCCCGTTTCTATGGGATCCTGGGAATGTTAGTTTTGCAAAGCCTTTTACTCTTCCCAAGGGTGCTGGCACTTCAATAAACCATAAATCCCATTGTTCCATACTATGGTGTCATGGTGGTTCAAGTGATGTCAAGACCGGATTTATTTTACTGTGTAGATGCATGCAGAGAAGGCTTCATAGTTTGCAAAACTACTACTCCTGGGATCTCATAGCATTGAGCCAAGGAAGTGAAAATGGTGTCAAAACTGTTGTGCAGGTACAACTGCACCAGGAGCTCCAATTTTGTTTGCTTTGCATTGAGTGTTTGTTGTAGTCCTAAGTTTCAGGGACTCTGCAGTTAGGTGGCTTCTTTTGGCTGCAATCATAGGTCAAGCCACCTGTCAATTATAGTTAGGTTCCCTGGTCCCAGGCCCGTAGCCAGGATTTCGTTTCGGGGGGGGGGGGGGGGGGCTGAATTTTTTTCAGGGGGGTTTCGGGGGGGGGTGAGTTTTCGGGGGGTTGGGCTGAGTCTGAGTGAAAGAGGGTCAACCCTAGCAAACCTTTTGTATCATTACCCCAATACCCCCATGCATATGGGATATATTGAGTATGGTGATCAGATCATGATATGAATAAACATAACAGTTTAAGTAATGCACCAGAAAGGCCTTTTCGCGAACCACCATGAGAATTTCGGGGGGGGGGGGGCTGAAGCCCCCCGAGGCCCCCCCCGGCTACATGCCTGCCTGGTCCCGCCCCCTTTTTGGGTTTTTGGAGGGAATAGGAGCCAATTTGGGTTCAGTCCACACAAAGTAGCTTTCCATGCAGGACATAATACCAAGAGCTCCTGTAGAAAGCTTCGTCTTCTATGGCTTGGCTGGGGAGAAAGGTCCCATAGCTTGGCCAAGGATTATACAGCCTTACAGCTCCTTTGCTGAAGGACTTCAGCCAGCCATCGCGGAAACCTGAGTTCTTTTCCCCCTGGAAGTCTACAAAGCTCTGCTTGGTAAGGGTCACTCGCGGAAGCCAGAAGCAGTTGGTACCAGGTGCAGGGGCTCCACGCCAACAGAGGCAAAGACAGGCTGCCCAGATTAGAAGTTAAGGATTTCCCCATTAGTTACAGTTATGAAGATAGTGCCTGTTCCCTGTGGACAAGATTGAGAGAGAGCCAATAGACTGTTAGACTGTTAAGAAAGCTTTAAAGTACCTGTTTGTTTTCATCAATAATAAAGAACTTTGTTGAAACTTTAAGCAATCTAAAGACTCTGTTTTAAGGAAATCCAAGGGCCTTTAATCTGAGGCAGCCCCGGCGTCCCGTTGGGCACACAGAATTTATGTCCTGTCTACAGTCTTATGCACAGGCCCAGCGTGCAACAGCACAACTGCAGTCATTTTACTGTGTAAATGCATGCGGAGAAGGCTCGACACCTTGTAAAACTACAACTCCCAGGATGCCATAGCATTGAGCCAGGGCAATGAAAGTGGTGTCTAAACCGCATTCATTTACTACATAAATGCATCCGGAGAAGGCTTGACACTTTGTAAAACTACAACTCCCAGCATGCTGTTCTCAAGAGTCAATTTCTGACGGCATGAAGACATCACAAATTCCATCCGTGACATTCGTCGTGGGAGTTCTGTGTGCCATTTTTGGTTCAATTCCATCATTGGCGGAGTTCAGAATGCTCTTTGATTGTAGGTGAACTATGCATCCCATTAACTACACTTGCCGCACTTGCTCCCTTGCCTGGCCCGCTTTGGGTCCGGAGGCATGCCTGAAGACCCCGGCATGTGCACCAAAAGTCACTTCTCCTGACTTTCTCCTCAGCCATAGGGACCGAGAGAGAGAGAGAGAAGTGGAGATGCCCACCTTTCCTGAAGGTAGGCGCAAAAACAAAGGAGGGAGCGGAGGTGGGAGATACCTCCAGCTGGAGGGGATCTCTCTCTCTCTCTCTCTCTCGGTCCCAATGGCTGAAGAGAAAGTCAGGAGAAGAGGCGACTTTTGGTGCGCACGCTGGGGTCTTCAGACACGCCTCCGGACCCGAAGCGGGCCAGGCGCGGCGGCTCCCTTGGCCCACCCGCGGATTGGGGAGAGGAGAGGAGGCGGGTGGAGCGCCGGGGGATCGGGAAAGGGAGCCGGTCATGGGGAAGGGATCGAACGCGGAGAACGATTGAGCCGGCTCTGCTCGCGCACCCGGTGGCCGGGTGGAGCAGGAACGAGAGGGGCTAGGCGAGGCTCAAGGGCCCAGCCCCTTTGGGAAGAGGATCGCCCGGCAGCGAGGCAAGAAAGCCGAGGCTCCCCCCGGACTGCTAGGGCTGTTGTGAGCTGAGGGGGCGCTCCTCAAGTGGCGGTCGAGGGGCATTTACAGAGGCGCCTCTGCACCCCTGGCAAAAAGTGTTCTGCGACTGCTTACTTCGCGTAATGGATGAGCCGCCCCTGCAAGCAATATATCCATTTCAAAGCAAAAATGACTTATGAGTGGTTATTTAATATTGCTATATAGATCCGACAGTCTTACAGCTGTAACATTGAGCCAGGGCAAGAAAAGTGTCAAAATGGCATTCATTCTGCTGTGTAACTGCACTCAGAAACATACCATAGAAACTTAACTGTAGGAAAATATTTACAGTTATTTGATAGAGTGCAAAATCAGTCAATGATGGGATGCAAGATGGGATGCAATCTAGTGTATTGGGGTTTTCCTGGACTTTTCTTTCTCTTTTAGGCTCCTGCAGAGGCAGAAGCGACGTGCGCTGCTCTTGTGAAGGCTGGCCTTGCCTTCGCCACAGCCACCGAAGACATGGACGCCTTACCCTTTGGGAGTCTACGTCTCCTGCGCCACCTGAACGCCAAAAACGGGTGAGAGCTGCAACCATGGAAAGCATTTGTCCCTGGACTCTTTGGCTCATCTTGTCTGAAAATGTGGATGAGGGCAAACTACAACTCCCATCATTCTGCCATTGCACCAGTAGTTAAACATGGTCATGATGGGTCTGTGTGCCAGGTTTAGTCCAGATCCATTGTCGATGGGGTTTGTAACGCTCTTTGATTATGGGTGAACTATATTCCCGATCATTCTGCCATTGCACCAGTAGTTAAACATGGTCATGATGGGTCTGTGTGCCAGGTTTAGTCCAGATCCATTGTCGATGGGGTTTGTAACGCTCTTTGATTATGGGTGAACTATATTCCCGATCATTCTGCCATTGCACCAGTAGTTAAACATGGTCATGATGGGTCTGTGTGCCAGGTTTAGTCCAGATCCATTGTCGATGGGGTTTGTAACGCTCTTTGATTATGGGTGAACTATATTCCCGATCATTCTGCCATTGCACCAGTAGTTAAACATGGTCATGATGGGTCTGTGTGCCAGGTTTAGTCCAGATCCATTGTCGATGGGGTTTGTAACGCTCTTTGATTATGGGTGAACTATATTCCTGATCATTCTGCCATTGCACCAGTAGTTAAACATGGTCATGATGGGTCTGCGTGCCAGGTTTAGTCCAGATCCATTGTCGATGGGGTTTGTAACGCTCTTTGATTATGGGTGAACTATATTCCCGATCATTCTGCCATTGCACCAGTAGTTAAACATGGTCATGATGGGTCTGCGTGCCAGGTTTAGTCCAGATCCATTGTCGATGGGGTTTGTAACGCTCTTTGATTATGGGTGAACTATATTCCTGATCATTCTGCCATTGCACCAGTAGTTAAACATGGTCATGATGGGTCTGTGTGCCAGGTTTAGTCCAGATCCATTGTCGATGGGGTTTGTAACGCTCTTTGATTATGGGTGAACTATATTCCCGATCATTCTGCCATTGCACCAGTAGTTAAACATGGTCATGATGGGTCTGTGTGCCAGGTTTAGTCCAGATCCATTGTCGATGGGGTTTGTAACGCTCTTTGATTATGGGTGAACTATATTCCCGATCATTCTGCCATTGCACCAGTAGTTAAACATGGTCATGATGGGTCTGTGTGCCAGGTTTAGTCCAGATCCATTGTCGATGGGGTTTGTAACGCTCTTTGATTATGGGTGAACTATATTCCCGATCATTCTGCCATTGCACCAGTAGTTAAACATGGTCATGATGGGTCTGTGTGCCAGGTTTAGTCCAGATCCATTGTCGATGGGGTTTGTAACGCTCTTTGATTATGGGTGAACTATATTCCCGATCATTCTGCCATTGCACCAGTAGTTAAACATGGTCATGATGGGTCTGTGTGCCAGGTTTAGTCCAGATCCATTGTCGATGGGGTTTGTAACGCTCTTTGATTATGGGTGAACTATATTCCCGATCATTCTGCCATTGCACCAGTAGTTAAACATGGTCATGATGGGTCTGCGTGCCAGGTTTAGTCCAGATCCATTGTCGATGGGGTTTGTAACGCTCTTTGATTATGGGTGAACTATATTCCCGATCATTCTGCCATTGCACCAGTAGTTAAACATGGTCATGATGGGTCTGTGTGCCAGGTTTGGTCCAGATCCATTCTTGGGGAAGTTCACAATGTTTGCCTGATGTCAGTGGACTTTAACTCCATTCATCCTCTGCTGTTGCCCTCCAAACTCCGTCAAACTCCGTATGCCAAGTTTGGTACAGCCCCGTCATCAGTGAGCGTCATTTTGGAATAGATAGATAGATATAGATATTTTCACTTTAATTATATTGAGTGGTAGAGATAAAGCATGGCAATCATCATGGTAGTGCCCACAAGAAGGAGCTCAAGGAAGGATTCCTTATTTATTTATTTACTACTAGCTGTCCCCTGCCACGCGTTCCTGTGGCCCAATCTGTTGAACAGGAAAATAAAGTAATGAGAAAGTGTTGGTTTCTAATATATGTAATTTCTTTCTGCTTGTGGGTAAATAGTGTTTCTTGCTGTTTCTTTGTCGGTGTCGATGTGGAGAGTGTCTGGTTTGCCTCCTCTGGAACAGGCAACATATCATAGCCCTTCTTTAAGGGTCCCTTTCAAATCTATGATACTATATCTCTCTGTGTGTGAATCATAACTATCTTTCTATCTATCTCTTTCTATGGCTGGATGGTTCTTTGTCAGGAGGACTTTGTTTACGTTGTCTTGCCCTGATGAAGGGAGTTGGACTGGATGGCCTTAAGTATTTTCTGTTGGCCAAGGGGGTTCTGTGTGGGAAGTTTGCCCCGATTCTGTCGTTCGTGGGGTTCAGAACGCTCTTTGATTGTAGGTGAACTGTGAATCCCAGTAACTACAACTCCCAAATGTCAAGGTCTATTTCCCCCAAACTCCATCTGTGTTCATATTTGGGCGTATTAGGTGCTTGAGTCCTCCGCCATCAACTCTGCGGGACCGGCCACGTTGTCCGGATGCTCGACCACCGACTCCCAAAGCAGTTGCTCTACTCCGAACTCAAGAACAGAAAACGGAATGTTGGAAGACAGGAAAAGAGATTGAAAGATGGGCTCAAAGCCAACCTTAAAAACTCTGGCATAGACACTGAGAACTGGGAAGCCCTGGCCCTTGAGCGCTCCAGCGGGAGGTCAGCTGTGACCAGCAGTGCTGCAGAATTTGAAGAGGCAAGAATGGAGGGCGAAAGGGAGAAGCGTGCCAAGAGGAAGGCGCATCAAGCCAACCCCGACCGAGACCGCCTTCTGACTGGAAACCAATGCCCTCACTGCGGAAGAAGATGCAGGTCAAGAAGAGGGCTCCACAGCCACATACGGACCCACAAGAATACTGGAAGACAATCCTCCTCAGAAAACGAGGGATCGCCTTAGGAGTAAGTGCTTGTGCTAAGTTTGGTCCAGATCCATCATTGTTTGAATCCTCAGTGCTCTCTAGATGTAGGTAAACTACAACTCCAAAACCCAAGGTCAATGCCCACCAAACCTTTCTAATGTTTTCTGTTGGTCAGGGGAGTCCTGTGTGCCAAGTTTGGTTCAATTCCATCGTTGGTGGAGTTCAGAATGCTCTTTGATTGTAGGTGAACTATACATCCCAACAACAATAACTCCCAAATGACAAAATCATAATTTTTTGAGTAATGGCCACTCCTTGTGCTGTGAGATGTTTTGTTGCCGAATTTGGTGTGATTTCGTTCATTGGTTCTTTTGTTTTTAAGGTACTCATTATGCACAGAGCATTTATATATATATAGATGTCCTTTGTCTTTGATTTCCTAGGACTGTGGAAGAAATCTCCTTACCTGTTCTTCTGGAAAAACTGAGCATGACGCAGGAGCAGGTGAGGCCAGGTGGGGGCAGTGGGTTTCGGGTGGGCTGCAGGATTTAATTTCCTGGTTGTCCTTGAGCCCCCACTTTGGGTGCATCCACACTGTAGACTTAATGCAGTTTGGCCCTGCTTGAGCTGCTAGGGCCCAATGCTGTGGGACCCTCAGAGCTGTAGTTCGGACCATCCTCCAAAAAATCGGGTGCCCTGACAAATTTGTGAACATCCTGCGGCTCCTCCATGATGACATGATGGCAACAGTCCTGGACAGCAGTGGCTCCCAAAGTGACCCATTCAAGGTGGAATCGGGTGTCAAACAGGGATGTGTTATTGCCCCAACTTTATTCTCCATCTTCATCACTATGATACTTCACCTTGTTGATGGGAAGCTTCCCACCGGAGTGGAAATCATCTCTCGGACAGATGGCAAGCTATTCAACCTCAGCAGACTGAAAGCCAAAACCAAGGTTACAACAACATCTGTTATAGAACTCCAGTATGCTGATGACAACGTTGTCTGTGCGCATTCAGAAGAAGATCTACAAGCCACTCTCAACACCTTCGCAGAAGCATACACGAAGCTCGGCCTGTCATTGAACATCGAGAAAACCAAGGTGCTTTTCCAGCAGGCACCAGCCAACCCCTCTCCATTGCCAGTGATACAGCTTAATGATGTAACATTAGAAAATGTTGACCATTTCCGCTCCCTTGGCAGCCACCTCTCCACCAAAGTCAACATCAACACCGAAATACAACACCGCCTGAGCTCTGCGAGCGCAGTATTTTCCCGAATGAAGCAGAGAGTGTTTGAGGACCGGGACATCCATAGGGATACCAAGGTGCTTGTCTATAAAGCTATTGTCCAACTCTGCTATATGCCTGTGAGACATGGACTGTCTACAGACGTCACATGCAACTCTTGGAACGATTCCAGCAGCGTTGCCTCTGCAATATTCCACAAATCTCTTGGGAAGACAAGTGGACAAACGTCAGCGTGCTGGAAGAAGCAAAGACCACCAGCATTGAAGCGATGGTCCTCTGCCATCCCTTGATGTATGGCAGGAACACACCAGGAAAACAGCAGAGAGGAAACAACCAGGCACATCTTAACACCTCTCAACAAAAGATTTTCCCAGGCTCAGCCAGGCCTTCAAATGCTAATGAAGGTGGTCAGTTGAAACATTCACACCTAGCTCCAGCAGAGAAGAGCTCTTTGCCCCACCCCAGCCATTCCACAGATATATAAACCCTTTTTCCTAATTCCAACAGACCTCACTACCTCTGAGGATGCTTGCCATAGATGCAGGCGAAACGTCAGGAGAAATGCCTCTAGAACATGGCCCTATAGCCTGAAAAAACCCACAATGACCTATGGGAGTTGTAGTCTGTGATATCTTTTGGGAGGCAGGTCTGCTCAGAGATAAAAAGCAGTATGTTGCTATTGTTGTTGTTGTTATTGTTGTCTGATGGATTTCCAGAGGAGGGCAGTCAAGGAAACTCGGCACAGCCAAACTCAGATTCAGAATAGTTCTTGATTTTGCTTCTTGAAACGATGCCTTCTTCTTCGCCTTCCCAGTTTGTGGACCTCTGCATCCTCTTGGGCTGCGACTACTGCGAGAAGATCCGTGGTCTGGGCCCCAAAAAGGCCCTGAAGCTGCTCCGGCAACACGGCAGCATTGAGCAGGTGGTGGAGCACACCTCTCGCCAGGTATGCAGCCTTCCCTGAGCTGAGTGGGACTGGGGGGCAGAGGGGGCCACGGGGTCGAAGATGTGGGTTGAGCGTGAAGATGAAGGACACAGAACGTTCTCCCACAGCTGGGTTGCATTCAAGCCATGGATGCTGAGAGACAGGTGAGATATTAGATGGATAGATAAATAGGTAGGCCAGTAGTTCGATAGATAGATAGATAGATAGATAGATAGATAGATAGATAGATAGATAGATAGATAGATAACGCATAATAGATGTAAAGATAGATAGATACATGAAGGGAGGGAGGGAGGGATGGCCAGATCAATATAAATGGATGGATAAATGGAGAATTTATGGAGGGATGGGTTGATAGAGATAGATGATTCAATGATGCATGGATGGATGCATAGACAGAACAGATGGAAGGACAGATAGATATAGATGGATAGATGGATAGATGGACCAGTAGATTGATAGATTGAAAGAGGATAAGTGGGTGGATAGATAGATAGATAGATAGATAGATAGATAGATAGATAGATAGATGGATGGATGGATGGATAGATGGATTTGTAGACAGACAGACTGATAGGGATAGATGAATAGATGGACCAATCAATTGATAGATTAATAGTGGATGGATAGATGGATAGATGGATAGATTGATACATTGATGGATGAATAGACAGGGAGATATAAAAGAAATAGAAAGACAGACAGATAGATAGCTGGTAAACTCATAATAGATGGAAAGATAGATAGATACACAAGGAAGAGAAGGATGGCCAGATCAATATAAATGGATTGATAAATGGAGAATAGATAGATAGATAGATAGATAGATAGATAGATAGATAGATAGATAGATAGATAGATAGATAGATAGATAGATAGATAGATAGAGAGATGGATGGATAGATGGATAGATGGATAGATTGATACATTGATGGATGAATAGACAGGGAGATATAAAAGAAATAGAAAGACAGACAGATAGATAGCTGGTAAACTCATAATAGATGGAAAGATAGATAGATACACAAGGAAGAGAAGGATGGCCAGATCAATATAAATGGATTGATAAATGGAGACAGAGCATTGATAGATAGTTAGATTAGATAGATAGATAGATGATAGATAGATAGATAGATAGATAGATAGATAGATAGATGGATGGATGGATGGATGGATGGATGGATGGATGGATGGATTTGTAGACTGACAGACTGATAGATTTGTAGACAGACTGATAGATGAATAGATGGACCAATCAATTGATAGATTGATAGCGGATGGATGGATGGATAGATGGATAGATTGATACATTGATGGATGAATAGACAGGGAGATATAAAAAAATACAAAGACAGACAGATAGACAGATAGATAGCTGGTAAACTCATAATAGATGGAAAGATAGATAGATACACGAGGAAGAGAAGGATGTAGATAGATAGGATGGATGGATAGAATAGATAGATAGATAGATAGATAGATAGATAGATAGATAGATAGATAGATAGATGGATGGATGGATTTGTAGACTGACAGACTGATAGATTTGTAGACAGACTGATAGATGAATAGATGGACCAATCAATTGATAGATTGATAGCGGATGGATGGATGGATAGATGGATAGATTGATACATTGATGGATGAATAGACAGGGAGATATGAAAAAAATAGATAGATAGATAGATAGATAGATGTCTGGAGGAGAAATAATAGATGAATAGATGTAAAGACAGAGGACACATTGATGGATAGACAGATGGACGGACAGACAGACCAATAGGGATGGATGGATAAGTGGAGAATACATGGAAGGATGGATTGTGAGAGGACCCGAGATGAATCGATGATGGATGGATTCATACAGAATATATGGCAGGATGGATAGATAACAGATTAATAGATAGATAGATGGATGGACAGATGGACAGATGGACTAATAGATTGATAGATTGACACAGGGTGCAGGTTGGCAGCTTGGGAGTGATCCTGGACCCATCGCTGAGCCTGGCGGAAGGATGGGTGAATGGATGGATAGATAGATTGATACACTGAAAGGGATAGATGAGAGATGAAAATATTGGTGGATGGATGGATGGATAGATGAAGGAGTAGGTTGATAGCTGAATAAATGGATGGACGAATGGATAGGCAGAGAATAGATGGAGAGGTAGATTATTTATTTATTTATTTACAGCTTTTATATTCCGCCCTTCTCACCCCGCAGGGGACTCAGGGCGGATTACAGTGTACACATATATGGCAAACATTCAATGCCAATTTTGACATACAAACATATACAGACATAGACAGAGGCTATTTAACTTTTTCTGGCCACCAGGGGAGCTGTCGCTTTCCTCGTCCATCTGCGACGCTGATGAAGCACTTCCGCATTCCCGCATGCTTCCCCGCTGGAATGCTTTTCTGGAGTCTTCTTTATGGCCTCATAAATCAGTTAATTTAGCCTCCCCACACTTTAAGGTGGTACCTTATTTTTCTACTTGACAGATGCAACTGTCTTTCGGGTTGCAAAGGTCGACAACAGGCTACACACAATTGGTTGGAAACCCACTCCAACCCGGGCTGGCTTCGAACTCATGACCTTTTGGTCAGAGTGATCTTAATGCAGCTGACACTCAGCCTGCTGCGCCACAATCCCGATGGGTAGAGGATAGATGACTAGGTGGAACAATACATCATTAGGGGATCAGTGGATAGTTGGATGGATGGAGGATAGATAGCAATATAGAGAATACATGGATGGGTGGATTGATGGAGATAAAGAGAGGGATATTTTCCTGCCTCTTGGCAGAATGGGGTTGGACTGGATGGCCCATGAGTTCTCTTCCAACTCTATGATTCCATATATAGATCATAGAATCATAGAATTGGAAGAGACTCATGGGCCATCCAGTCCAACCCCATTCTGCCAAGAAGCAGGAATATTGCATTCAAATCACCCCTGACAGATGGCCATCCAGCCTCTGTTTAAAAGCTTCCAAAGAAGGAGCCTCCACCACACTCTGGGGCAGAGAGTTTCACTGCTGAACGGCTCTCACAGTCAGGAAGTTCTTCCTCATGTTCAGATGGAATCTCCTCTCTTGTAGTTTGAAGCCATTGTTCCACATCCTAGTCTCCAGGGAAGCAGAAAACAAGCTTGCTCCCTCCTCCCTGTGGCTTCCTCTCACATATTTATACATGGCTATCATATCTCCTCTCAGCCTTCTCTTCTTCAGGCTAAACATGCCCAGCTCCTTAAGCCGCTCCTCATAGGGCTTGTTCTCCAGACCCTGGATCTTTTGTGTCGCCCTCCTCTGGACACATTCCAGCTTGTCAATGTCTCTCTTGAATTGTGGTGCCCAGAATTGGACACAATATTTAGATGGATGGATGGATCTAAAAATGGATTGATAGATGAATAGATTCATGGATGGGTGGATGCCAGCATTTTTCCTTTTGCAGAAGCACCCCTTGCCGGACAACTGGCCACTGGCCGAAGTCCGGGCTCTCTTCCTTGATCCGGTGGTGGCCCCTCTGAGCCAGGTGGCCCTGGAGTGGAGGGACCCTGACGAGGAGAGGCTGGTGTGCTTCCTGGCGCATGAGAAGCACATGAAGTGAGTGCGGATGGGGTTCTGTTGGGATGCTTGGGGTGGGACTGGCGAGAAAGCAGGGAAGTCATTCATGCAGACACGGGCCAGCTTGGGCCCTCCCTCCAAGTGTTTTGGATTTCAACTCCCACAATTCCTAACATCCTACTGGCTGTTAGGACTTGTGGGAGTTGGAGTCCAAAACACCTGGAGGGAGGGCCCAAGCTGGCCCGTGTCTGCATTAACTGTAGCCTGTGTTTCGCAGTGAGAGCCGTGTTCGTCGTGGGATGGAAAAATGGCGAGAGAGTTTGCCGAAGCAACCTAAGCCCCCGAAGCAACCTAAGCCAGGGTTTGGAGCAAAGGACGGTTCCCGGCAGCAGAAGATGGAGGAGTTCTTCCAGGTCAAAAAACGCCCGTGCCAGGTATCGAGCACGACAACCCCCACCCCTAAGGAAAAGGAAGACATAGTCCCACCATGAAGGGAGTCATAGTTTCCCAAGGACACGAGGCCAGGATGACCGGCATTGGCCTCCATCTCTCTAGTTCCCCCTTTCTTCCATCCTCCCTCCCTCCTTCTTTCCTTTTTTCTTCCTTCCTTCCCTATCTGTTCTCCTTGCCTGCCTTCCCTCATCTTTCCATTTTTCCTTCCTTCCTTCCTTCCTTCCTTCCTTCCTTCCTTCCTTCCTTCCTTCCTTCCTTCCTTCTTTCCTTTCTCCCTCCTTCTTTCCCTCTCTTTTTCCTACTTCCCTTTATTTATTTCCCCTTTTCTCCCTCCCTTCCTGCCTTTTTCCATTCCTCCCCTTTTCCTTCTTTCCTTCCTTCCTTCCTTCCTTCCTTCCTTCCTTCCTTCCTTCCTTCCTTCCTTCCTCTTTCCCTCTTTTTCCCTACTTCTCTCTTTCTAATTTTTTGCCCTTTCTCCCTCTTTCCCTCTCTCTTTTTTCCCTTCCTTCCTTCCTTTCTCTCTCCTTCTTTCCTTCTTTTTTTCTTACTTCTCTATCGGTTTCTCCTTCCTTTTAAATTTATTTATTTTCCCCTTTCTTTCTTTCTTTCTTTCTTTCTTTCTTTCTTTCTTCCTCCCTTCTTCTTTTTCTTTCTTTTTCTCTCTCCCTCCTTCTTTCCCTCCCTCTTTTTCTTTCTCCCTTTATTTTCTTCTCCCCCTCTCTCCCTACTTCTCCTCTTTTTTCTATTTCTTTTTATTTATTTATTTCCCTTTTTATTTTTCCCTCCTCCCCTTTTCTTCCTTCCTTCCTTCCTCTTTTTGTTTCCCCCTTTCTTTTCTCCTTCCTTCCTTCCTTTCCTTCCTTCCTTCCTTCCTTCTTTTCTCCCTCCTTCTTTCCCTCTCTTTTTCCTACTTCCCTTTATTTATTTCCCCTTTTCTCCCTCCCTTCCTGCCTTTTTCCATTCCTCCCCTTTTCCTTCTTTCCTTCCTTCCTTCCTTCCTCTTTCCCTCTTTTTCCCTACTTCTCTCTTTTTAATTTTTTGCCCTTTCTCCCTCTTTCCCTCCCTCTTTTTTTCCCTTCCTTCCTTTCTCTCTCCTTCTTTCCCTCTTTTTTTCTTACTTCTCTATCGGTTTCTCCTTCCTTTTAAATTTATTTATTTTCCTCTTTCTTTCTTTCTTTCTTTCTTTCTTTCTTCTTCTTCTTTCTTCTTCTCTCTCTCTCTCCCTCCTTTTTCCCCTCCCTCTTTTTCTTTCTCCCTTTCTTTTCTCCTCCCCCTCTCTCCCTACTTCCCCTCTTTTTTATTTCCCTTTTTATTTTTCCCTCCTCCCCTTTTCTTCCTTCCTTCCTTCCTCTTTTTGTTTCCCCCTTTCTTTTCTCCTTCCTTCCTTCCTTCCTTCCTTCCTTCCTTTTTCCTTCCTTCCGTCCTGCCTTCTTTCCTTCCTGCTTTCCTTTCTTCTTTCCTTTCTGCCTTCCTTCCTTCTTTCCTTTTCTCCCTCCTCCTCCTTTTTTCCTCCTTCCTTTTCCTTCTTTCCTTCCTTCTCTTTCCCTCTTTTTCCCTACTTCTCTCTTTTTAATTTTTTGCCCTTTCTCCCTCTTTCCCTCCCTCTTTTTTCCCTTCCTTCCTTTCTCTCTCCTTCTTTCCCTCTCTTTTTTTCTTACTTCTCTATCAGTTTTTCCTTCCTTTTAAATTTATTTATTTTCCTTTCTTTCTTTCTTTCTTTCTTTCTTTCTTTCTTTCTTTCTTTTTTTTTCCTCCCTTCTTCTTTGTCTTTCTTCTTCTCTCTCTCCCTCCTTTTTTCCCTCCCTCTTTTTCTTTCTCCCTTTATTTTCTCCTTCCTGTCTCCCCCTACTGCCTCTCTCTTTTTCTTTCTCTTTATTTATTTATTTATTTCCCTTTTTATTTTTCCTTCCTTCCTTCCTTCCTCCTTCCTTCCTTCCTTCCTCCTCTTTTTTTTTTCTCTTTCTTTTTCCCCTCCCTCCTCCCTCCCTCCCTCCCTCCTACTTTCCCCCTCTTTTCAACTTATCTTTATTTATGTATTTATTATTTCCCAATTTCTCCTTCCTTCCCTCCCTCCCTCCCTCTCTTCTTCTTTCCTTCCCTCCCTTTTTTCTTTCTCCCTCTTTTCTCCTCTCTCCCTCTCTTTTTTCCCTACTATTCATTTATTTCTTTATTTACCTCTTTCTCCTGGTTCCCTCCCTTCCTTCCTTCTTTCTTTCTTTCTCCTTCCTTCCCTCCCTTTTTCTTTCCCCCTTTCCTCTTTCTTCCCTCTCTTCCTCCTTCTTTCCCACTCTTTTTCCTTGTTGTTGTTGTTGTTCATTCGTTCAGTCGTCTCCGACTCTTCGTGACCTCATGGACCAGCCACGCCAGAGCTCCCTGTCGGCCGTCACCACCCCCAGCTCCTTCAAGGTCAGTCCAGTCACTTCAAGGATGCCATCCATCCATCTTGCCCTTGGTCGGCCCCTCTTCCTTTTGCCTTCCACTTTCCCCAGCATCATTGTCTTCTCTAGGCTTTGCTGTCTCCTCATGATGTGGCATTCAAAGGACTTCAACTTTGTCTCTAGTCTCCTTCCCTCCAGTGAGCAGTCGGGCTTTATTTCCTGGAGGATGGACTGGTTGGATCTTCTCGCAGTCCAAGGCACTCTCAGCACTTTCCTCCAACACCACAGCTCAAAAGCATCGATCTTCCTTCGCTCAGCCTTCCCTAAGGTCCAGCTCTCACATCCGTAGGTGACTACAGGGAATACCATGGCTTTGACTATGCAATGGATCTTTGTTGCCAGTCTGATGTCTCTACTCTTCACTATTTTATCGAGACTGGACATTGCTCTCCTCCCAAGAAGGAAGCGTCTTCTGATTTCCTGGCCACAGTCTGCATCTGCAGTCATCTTTGTCCCTAGAAATACAAAGTCTGTCACGGCCTCCACATTTTCTCCCTTTATTTCCCAGTTGTCAATCATTCTTGTTGCCATAATCTTGGTTTTTTTGACGTTTAGCTGCAACCCGGCTTTTGCGCTTTCTTCCTTCACCTTGATTAGAAGGCTCCTCAGCTCCTCCTCGCTTTCGGCCATCACTCTTTTTCCTACTTCTCTTTATTTACTTACATACTTATTTATTTCCTTCTTTCTCCTTCCTTCCTTCCCTTTTTCTTTCCCCCTTTCCTTTATCCTCCCTCCCTCCTTCTTTCCCTCTCTTTTTTCCTACTTCTATTTATTTATTTATTTATTATTTGGGTTGTTGTAGGTTTTTTCGGGCTATATGGCCATGTTCTAGAGGCATTCTCTCCTGACGTTTTGCCTGCATCTATGGCAAGCATCCTCAGAGGTAGTGAGGTCTGTTGGAACTAGGAAAAAGGGTTTATATATCTGTGGAATGACCATGGTGGGACAAAGGACTCTTGTCTGCTGGAGCTAGGTGCGAATGTTTCAACTGACCACCTTGATTAGCATATAATGGCCTGACAGTGCCTGGAGCAAACTTTTGTTGAGAGGTGATTGGATGTCCTTGTTTTTTCCTCTCTGTTGTTGTGCTGCATTTTTGTTGCATTGCATTTTTAACAAACAAACAAACAAACAAACAAAACACAGAATTTGCAAGCTTGGTAGTTGATTAAATGTCCTTTGACCACTATCTGGCCACTTGGAGTGCCTCTGGTGTTGCCGCAAGAAGGTCCTCCATTGTGCATGTGGCAGGGCTCAGGTTGCATTGCAGCAGGTGGTCAGTGGTTTGCTCTTCTCTGCACTCGCATATCGTGGATTCCACTTTGTGGCCCCATTTCTGAAGGTTGGCTCTGCATCTCATGGTGCCAGAGCGCAGTCTGTTCAGCGCCTTCCAAGTCGCCCCGTCTTCTGTGTGCCCAGGGGGAGTCTCTCATTTGGTATCAGCCATTGATTGAGGTTCTGGGTGTGAGCCTGCCACTTTTGGACCCTCGCTTGCTGAGGTGTTCCAGCGAGTGTCTCTGTAGATCTTAGAAAACTATTTCTAGATTTAAGGTGTTCACGTGCTGGCTGATACCCAAACAAGGGATGAGCTGGAGATGTCTCTGCCTTGGTCCTTTCACTGTTGGCTGCTCCTTCCTGGCGGATGTCAGGTGGTGCAATACCGGCTAAGCAGTGTAATTTCTCCAGTGGTGTAGGGCGCAGGCACCCCGTGATAATGTGTCATGTCTCATTCAGAGCCACATCCAGTGTTTTAGCGTGGTGAGATGTGTTCCACACTGGGCATGCATACTCAGCAGCAGAGTAGCACAGCGCAAGGGCAGATGTCTTCACTGTGTCTGGTTGTGAACCCCAGGTTGTGCCAGTCAGCTTTCATATGTTATTGTTTCTGGCACCCACTTTTTGCTTGATGTTCATGCAGTGCTTCTTGTAGGTCAGAGCACGGTCCAGAGTGACTCCCAGGGATTTGGGTGCGCTGCAATGCTCCAGTGGGATTTCTTCCCAGGTCAACCTCAGAGCTCGGGATGCTTGTCTGTTCTTGAGATGAAAGGCACATGTCTGTGTTTTAGATGGATTAGGGATCAGCTGGTTTTCCCTGTCATAGGCAATAAGGGCACCTAGAGCTTTGGAGAGCTTCTGTTCTACCGTCTCAAAGCTCCCTCCTTGAGCGGTGATGGCATGATCATCAGCATAGATGAAACTCTCTGTCCCTTCTGGCAGTGGCTGGTCATTTGTGTAGATGTTGAACATGGATGGAGCAAGCACGCTCCCCTGAGGCAGGCCGTTCTTCTGTTTCCGCCATCTGCTTCTCTGGATCTGGAACTCAACAAAAAAGCTCCTGTTTTGTAGCAGGATTCCTATGAGGCGGGTGAAGTGGTCGTCCTTTGTGATATTATACATTTTTCTCAGGAGGAGGCGGTGGTTCACAGTATCATAGGCTGCTGACAAGTCTATGAAGACAGCTCCTGTGATCTGCTGCCTTTCAAAGCCATCTTCTATGTGCTGAGTCAGGTTCAGCACTTGCGATGTGCAGCTTTTGCCTTTCCTGAATCCAGCTTCAGGAAGAGAAAATTAAAGACCTTGTGGAACTACAATTCCCAGGGCCCCGTCGCCTTGAGCCAAGGCTGTTGAAGAGGTGTCTTTCTGCAACAGTGCTCTTTTGTGCTTTCTCTGCTCTTATAGAAAGTTTCGGGTGGTGATAATAATAATAATAATGATACCTGCTTCTCCCTGTGGCTCATTGGAATGACATTTATTCCATTTGCTTTTCCGCTTTGCAGGTTCCCAGTGGCCCACTTTCCAGGAAGAAGCAAAGGCTCAAACACCAGCCGGAAAATGCAGCCAGGACTTGAGGAAAAAAAGCATTTATTCATTCCTGAATTTATTTTTCTGCCTTGCATTAGCGAAGCTTTGAATATTGAAGCTTTCCCAGCACTCAGGGGGGAAAAAACCATCTCACAGTACTTGGACTGCAATGGAATCCTGGGATTTGTAGTTTGTTTAGGCAGCAGCCCTCTTGTTCAGAGAAGGCCAAAGACCTTGGAAAACTACAACTCCCTGGCTTAGAGTCATAGAGTTGGAAGAAACCCCGTGGACTACCTAGTCCAACCCCCTGCCATGCAGAAAAAGCACAAAGTATCCCTGACAGATGGCCATCCAGCCTCTGTTTAAAAATTTCCAAGAAGGAGCTTCCACCGGACTGCGCAGCAGTGAGTTCCACTGCTGAACGACTCTCACAGTTAGGAAATTCTTTCTAATGTTCAAGTGGAATCTCCTCTCCCATAATTAAAACCCATGGCTCCTATGCCGTCGCACCTGGGGCTATAATTCTTAGTGAAAGAGACATAGACGTGACATCTTTCCCCCAGGGGATTGCTTCTTGCCTTCCTTTAGAAAACTTGAACTCCGAAGGACCAAAACAGCATAGATAACTCAAAATAGATTTTATTGTTCACAAAGAGTTATCCCTTTAAGGCAATAAGCTGGAAGTTTCAAAGGGGGCAAAGGAAATATACATTACAGTCTCTGGTTGTTTTTGGTCCAAGGAGATTTCACAGCTGAGAAGCTTTTCCTGTTCCCTCTTTTCTCAATGGCTGCGAAGGTCGGAACAAACACAACCCCCTGTCCAATGGCCTATGTTGAAGGCACAGAGTCCTCCCTTTGATGCCAAAGGACCGGTTTGAATGCACTTGGGTCTCCTCAACGTTGTCCAGGGCAATCTGGGCATGAAGCATGAGTCCCAAGGGTAAAAACCTTAGAATTGGTGATGAGAGGTAACTTAATCAAGGGCTTTAGAGCCAAGTCTCTTTTTCATGTCTGATAGAAAGTTTGATGGTAAAATGGAAAAGGAAAAGCTCTGCCCTCCTTCAGGAAGAGGTGGAGCCAAGCAATTGAGCTGAGGAAGCAATATAACTGGTGCAAACAACATTGATTGACAGCTATGAATAACCAACCAATCCAACTATACATTTACAAACTAGGCAAGTATGGGCATGTTATACAGTTTAAACCTTTGCACTTTAAAATTCTACACACAGGTGGTGCCACACGCGACGTTACAGCTCCATTGAATCCTAGTTTCTAGGGCAGCAGAATGGAAACCTGCTCCCCCTGCCTTAGGACACCCTTTCACGTATGGATACATGGCTTTCAGGTCTCCTCTTGTTGGGGTTCAGCCTGTGTGTGAACCTGAACCTGATTCTCTGATTGTATTTCCTGATGCCAACGAAGATGTGGATTCTGAAGTCAATGTAGAAGATGACGGTTTGTGTAGTGAAACTCCTGCAGCCTTGGAAAGTGAAAGTCCAAATTCCCATGAGAATATTTCAGAGCCAAGCGGTGAACTTTCACTCCCTTTTCTTCCCAGTCTTAGCTCTCCAGAGAATCCGACACCTGGGCTCTCTAATGAGGATAGGAGAGGGCAGATTTGGCAGAGCAGGGGAGAATCTCAAAGTTTACGAAGGTCAGCTAGATTGAGAGAAATGCAAACAAAGCCTTCAGGCGTGTCACGTAATAGATTTCTCGACCTTAAGTACCTCTCGCCTGGATGCATCTTCAGACCAGGCATCGTTCCAGATTCATGCATCACCTTTGGCAGGTCTCCTGATTCCAGTGGCCTTATTCCTAAGAGGCTTCCTAGTTGCTTCAAGTACGGTTAGTGGATTGCTAACAGGTTCCAGGATTTAGCAGTGTTACTATGGGTTTTTTGATCTTGTTCATGGACATTTCTTGTTGCTGATTTTTACTGTGGCTTTTTACCTTGCATATTTTCTCTATTTTTGTACTCATCTTTCATCAATAAAAAAGGATTGTTTTTCCTGAAATCAAGTGTGGTGGATTGTTGTCTTAGGGTCCAGTTTCCTGCTCTGGGTTGCAACACCTCTCCACCTTCTCTTCTGCAGCTAAACAGACCCTGTTTAAGGCACTCCTCATAGGGATTCATGGTCTCCAGGCCTTTGACTTTTTCAGTCGCCCTCTTCCTCTGTCCCCCTTTGTTGTAGCTCAGCCAGCTAAGGATGATGATGATGATGATGATGATGATGAGGGGTTTGGGGGTGCAGGGCCTGATGCTTCTGGAGGTGTCAGACAGAAGGGATGTTAGAACAGGATGGTGATTCCCCAGTGGGAGAACGGAGGGGGATTTGGTTGACTGTCTGGATGAGGGCAAGCAAATTGAAGTTGAATCCATAGAATCATAGAATCAAAGAGTTGGAAGAGACCTCATGGGCCATCCAGTCCAACCCCTTCTGCCAAGAAGCAGGAATCATGCATTCAAATCACCCCTGACAGATGGCCATCCAGCCTCTGTTTAAAAGCTTCCAAAGAAGGAGCCTCCACCACACTCCGGGGCAGAGAGTTCCACTGCTGAACGGCTCTCACAGTCAGGAAGTTCTTCCTCATGTTCAGAAGGAATCTCCTCTCTTGTAGTTTGAAGCCATTGTTCCTGCGTCCTAGTCTCCAGGGAAGCAGAAAACAAGCTTGCTCCCTCCTCCCTGTGGCTTCCTCTCACATATTTATACATGGCTATCATATCTCCTCTCAGCCTTCTCTTCTGGCTAAACATGCCCAGCTCCTTAAGCCGCTCCTCATAGGGCTTGTTCTCCAGACCCTTGATCATTTTAGTCGCCCTCCTCTGGACACATTCCAGCTTGTCAATATCTCTCTTGAATTGTGGTGCCCAGAATTGGACACAATATTCCAGGTGTGGTCTAACCAAAGCAGAATAGAGGGGTAGCATGACTTCCCTAGATCTAGACACTATGCTCCTATTGATGCAGGCCAAAATCCCATTGGCTTTTTTTGCCGCCACATCACATTGTTGGCTCATGTTTAACTTGTTGTCCACGAGGACTCCAAGATCTTTTTCACACGTACTGCTCTCGAGCCAGGCATCGTCCCCCATTCTGTATCTTTGCATTTCGTTTTTTCTGCCAAAGTGGAGTATCTTGCATTTGTCCCTGTTGAACTTCATTTTGTTAGTTTTGGCCCATCATCTCTCTAATCTGTCAAGATCATTTTGAATCCTGCTCCTGTCCTCTGGAGTATTGGCTATCCCTCCCAATTTGGTGTCGTCTGCAAACTTGATGATCCTGCCTTCTAACCCTTCATCCAGACAAGACAGAGTTCCTCCTGGTCAGTCGCAAGGCCAAACAGGGTATAGGGTTGCAACCTGTGCTGGATGGGGTCGCACTCCCCCTGAAGATGCAGGTTCACGTCTTGGGGGTCCTCCTGGATTCATCACTGAGCCTGGAATCTTAGGTTGTAGTGATGGCCAGGGGAGCGTTTGCTGCGCCCATACCTTGGGAAGTGAGACTTGGCCACGGTGGTCCACGCTCTCGTTACATCTAGGATAGACTACTGCAACACACTCAAATGGGGCTGCCTTTGAAGACTGCTCGGAAGCTTCAAATAGTCCAACGAGAGGCAGCCAAGTTAATAACTGGGGCGATATACAGGGAGCATACAACTCCCATGTTACGCCATCTCCACTGGCTGCCAGTTTGCAATCGAGCACAATTCAAAGTGCTGGCTTTGGCCTATCAAGCCCTAAACGGCCCCGGCCCAAATTAGCTGTCCGAACACATCTCCCCTATGAACCATCGCGGCGATTAAGATCCTCCAGGGAGGCCCTGCTCTCCATCCTGCCATTGTCACGGGTGCGATTGGTGGAGACGAGAGACAGGGCCTTCTCGGTGATTGCTCCCCAGCTATGGAACTCCCTTCCTGGTGAGATCAGATTGGCCCCCTCCCTCCTGTCCTTTAGAAGGATGGTCAAAACCTGGCTGTGGGACCGAGCTTTCGGGACAGAGCAAAAACACAGGCTGTATGGCCATCTGTCTGGAAGGCTTAAATTGTGCTTTCCTGCCTGGCAGAAGTGGGGTGGATTCTGCCAAGAAGCAGGAATATTGCATTCAAATCACCCCTGACAGATGGCCATCCAGCCTTCAAAGAAGGAGCCTCCACCACACTCCGGGGCAGAGAGTTCCACTGCTGAACGGCTCTCACAGTCAGGAAGTTCTTCCTCATGTTCAGATGGAATCTCCTCTCTTGTAGTTTGAAGCCATTGTTCCGCGTCCTAGTCTCCAGGGAACTTTGTCCACAAAGAACCGAGCAAATGCTTCACAGCAGGCCGCCGAGTTGTCAGGGTTCCCATCCGGAATGGTGGGGTTTAATAGACCTCTGACAACTCGAAACAACTCAGCCGGACGGTTCTTTGCGGACGCAATATTGGCCGCAAAGAAGGATTTCTTTGCCGCCTTTATTGCCGTGGCATATGCCCTTAAAAGGGCAACAAACCGTGTTCGATTTAACTCGCTCGGGTCCGAATGCCACACGCGCTCTAGTCTCCTCTTCCTTCGCTTCATCGCTGCCAGCTCCTCGTTAAACCAAGGAGCTGATTTAGTTCGGCTACTTGAGAGGGGACGTTCCGGAGCAATCGTGTCTATTGCCCTCGTCATCTCCCCGTTCCAGAGAGACACCAGGGCATCAACAGGATCACCAACCGAGGTGGCGGGAAAATCCCCAAGAGCCGTCAGGAATCCATTCGGATCCATAAGCCTCCTGGCCAATTACTTTCCGAGCCCAATTCAAGGTACTTGTTTTGACCTAACGGACTGGAACAAATTGCAATATGAGCTGACATGATGCCACAAGAATATGACTGTATATTATTGTTATATTTAAACTGTTTATTTTATGATGTTTTATACTTACTATTGGTGTATTCGAATTGTTTACATTATTTTAATATGTTGTAAGCTGTTTTGGGTCTTGTGCAGGGGAAAAGCGGGATATACATAAAGATTTATTATTATAATAATATATATATATAAAGAAAGTCTAAACAATAAAATGTTGTTTTTTTCACCTCTCTGATTGACTAATGTCTACAGCTGTAAATTGGAAAAAACATAATACATACCATTGGAAAATGCATGACTTGGTAAGTAGATAAGTAAGTTGGTCTTGCACTGATGGAAGCTGCACCACTTCAGCTGTCCAAATTTATAAATGGCCCTATTTATACAGTTATGCATTTTCTAATAGGTCTATTCTTAAAATCCAAAATCTAACAATGACTATTTCTAATATTTATCCTTACCAAACTAACCTGACCAACATCGCGTACCTATGCAACATGATGGAGTTTTCATAAAAAACAATACCCTTTTAAAATAACCCAGGCAGCGCCGGGTACCCAAGCTAGTAATAAATACATAAGAATACTGTTTGCCTACCATGTGCTTAAGTACGCCTTTGGGGCCTTCCGCGGCGACGGTTTGCAGGTTGGGGCTAAAAAAAAGACAGCAGGACGTGTGAAAAATGTCTTGGAGGTGAACATGAGTAGTATCTAAACACAGGTTGGATGGCCCTCTGTCAGGAGGGCTTGGATTGTGCCTTCCTCCCTGGCAGAATGGGGTGGACTGGATGGCCTTTGGGGGCCCCTTCCAACTCTAGTATTCTGTGGAGGAATCTAAACACAGGTTGGATGGCCCTCTGTCGGGAGGGCTTGGATTGTGCCTTCCTTCCTGGCAGAAGGGGGTTGGACTGGATGGCCTTTGGGGGCCCCTTCCAACTCTAGTATTCTGTGGTAGTATCTAAACACAGGTTGGATGGCCCTCTGACGGGAGGGCTTGGATTGTGCCTTCTTTCCTGGCAGAAGGGGGTTAGACTGGATGGCCTTTGGGGGCCCCTTCCAACTCTAGTATTCTGTGGTAGCATTTAAACACAGCCTGGATAGACATCGGTTGGGAGGGCTTGGGTTGTGCCTTCCTGCCTGGCAGAAGGAGGTTGGACTAGATGACCTCTGGGGGTCCTAGCTCTAGGATTCTGTGGGAGTACTAAAACACAGCCTGGATGGACATTTGTTGGGAGGGTTTGGATTGTGCCTTCCTTTCTGGCAGAAGGGGGTTGGACTGGATGGCCTTTGGGGGCCCCTTCCAACTCTAGGATTGTACAATTCAGTGATTGAATAAGGCTGGATGGGCATCTGTTGAGAGGGTTTGGATGGTGTCCTCCTACTTGGCCGAAGAGGGGTGGGCTGGATGATCTTTAGGGGTTCCCTTCCAACTCTAGGATTCTGTGGAAGTGCTTAAACACAGCCTGGATGGCCATTTGTCAGGAGGGCTTGGGTTGTGCCTTCCTTCCTGGCAGAAGGGGGTTGGACTGGATAGCCTTTGAGGGTCCTTTCCAACTCTAGGATTGTAGAATTCAGTGATTGAATAAGGCTGGGTGGGCATCTGTTGAGAGGGTTTGGATGGTGTCCCCCTACTTAACCGAAGAGGGGTGGGCTGGATGATCTTTAGGGGTTCCCTTCCAACTCCAGAATTCTGTAGAAGTATTTAAACACAGGTTGAATGGCCATCTGTCAGGAAGGCTTAGATTGTGCCTTCCTGCTGGATGGCCTTTGGGGTTCCCTTCCAACTCTAGGATTCTGTGGAAGTGCTTAAACACAGCCTGGATGGCCATTTATCGGGAGGGCTTGGGTTGTGCCTTCCTCCCTGGCAGAAGGGGGTTGGACTGGATGGCCTTTGGGGTCCCAATTCTAGGATTCTGTGGAAGTACTTAAACACAGAATCCTAGATTCTGTGTCCCTTCCAACTAGTATTCAATGAATAGTATTTAAACACAGGTTGGATGGCCATCCGTCAGGAGGGCTTAAATTGTGTCTTCTTACCTGGCAGAATGGGATTGGTCCAGATGGGCTTTGGGGGTCCCTTCCAACTTCAGAATTCTGTGTAAGTACTAAAACACGGCTTGAATGGCCATTTGTCGTGAGGGCTTGGATTGTGCCTTCTTTCCTGGCAGAAGGGGGTAGGGCTGGATAGCCTTTGAGGGTCCTTTCCAACTCTAGGATTGTAGAATTCAGTGATTGAATAAGGCTGGGTGGGCATCTGTTGAGAGGGTTTGGATGGTGTCCCCCTACTTAACTGAAGAGGGGTGGGCTGGGTGATCTTTGGGGGTTCCCTTCCAACTCCAGAATTCTGTAGAAGTATTTAAACACAGGTTGAATGGCCATCTGTCAGGAGGGCTTAGATTGTGCCTTCCTGCTGGATGGCCTTTGGGGTTCCCTTCCAAGTCTAGGATTCTGTGGAAGTGCTTAAACACAGCCTGGATGGCCATTTGTCGGGAGGGCTTGGGTTGTGCCTTCCTGCCTGGTAGAAGGGGGTTGGACTGGATGACCTTTGAGGGTCCCTTCCAACTCTAGGATTTTGGGGAGAGCTTGGGTTGTGCCTTCCTGCCTGGTAGAAGGGGGTAGGGCTGGATGACCTTTGGGGTTCCCTTCCAACTCTAGGATTGTGGGGAGAGCTTGGGTTGTGCCTTCCTGCCTGGTAGAAGGGGGTTGGACTGGATGACCTTTGGGGTTCCCTTCCAACTCTAGGATTTTGGGGAGAGCTTGGGTTGTGCCTTCCTGCCTGGTAGAAGGGGGTAGGGCTGGATGACCTTTGGGGTTCCCTTCCAACTCTAGGATTGTGGGGAGAGCTTGGGTTGTGCCTTCCTGCCTGGCAGAAGGGGGTTAGACTGGATAGCGTTTGGGGGCCCCTTCCAACTCTAGGATTGTAGAATTCAGTGATTAAACAAGGCTGGATGGGCCGAAGAGGGGTGGGCTGGATGATCTTTAGGGGTTCCCTTCCAACTCCAGAATTCTGTAGAAGTATTTAAACACACTTTGAATGGCCATCTGTCTGGAGGGCTTAGATTGTGCCTTCCTGCTGGATGGCCTTTGGGGTTCCCTTCCAACTCTAGGATTCTGTGGAAGTGCTTAAACACAGCCTGGATGGCCATTTGTCGGGAGGGCTTGGGTTGTGCCTTCCTGCCTGGCAGAAGGGGGTTGGACTGGATGGCCTTTGGGGGTCCCTTCCTTCTGCCAAGCAGAGGCTGCGGCAAAGGGAGTGCCAGCCAGAGCCGGGTGCCAAGGGAGTCTCCGTGCCGGGAGCGCGCTTGGCTGCGGGAGCGCGCCTGGAGCCGGCTGCAAGGAGGAGGAGGAGGAGGAGGAGGAGGTGCTTTTGCCAAGGGTGCCCCCCTTCCTGGCCCCCCAAAAGCCAGCACCTCTTTGAGGGATCCTCGACATCCCCTCCTTTTGGAAACCCTACAAGAGGAGGGTCTATTTT